CACTTCCTTGTCTAAATTTTCCCACTGCATTGCCCGCATAAAGGGGTGAGTCAAGTTGGAAAGGCGACATCCTTCTCTAAATTTTACCCCTGCATTGCCCACAAAGGAGTAAGTCAAGTTGGAGTGACCACTTCCTTCTCGGTCGCCGGTCTTCGGCCTGGTCACCGGTCCGGTGCCGGCCCGGTCTCCGGCCCGGTCTTTGGCCCGGTCTCCGGCCCGGTCACCGCTCTCCGGCCCGGTCACTGGTCCGTCTCCGGTCCGGTCTCCGTCACCGACAAAAAAAATATATACTCGCGGATAGGTGTGTACGTTTGCTCACATGGAACGGTTTTTGAAGGAAATGTTTCGACTGTTCATGTGTGTTTTTTATCTGGTGTTTTTGGGTCGCCTGTTTGGCGCACCCACCTCCTTTTCGAGGGTGGCCGGCACATTGAGGCATTCACCAGAAGAACATGCGCACACAATTGCATTTGTTCTGACCCGACGGCCCTGATCCGACAGCGTCCAAACGGAGGGAAGGTCACCTCGACTGGCACATGTACAGCCTTGCGTAGCCGATGTTCCATGTTTGGTGGTTTGGTTCTTCCACGTCTAGACGCGCTAACACTAGCGGGTGATCGGCCGTGTCTCACTCCGGGGTTTTGTCGGCATGGCCCAGGTATGACATACAAGCAGGCGACCTAGATTGGTTCCGGCAGATTTGGTTTTGATCCATGTGTGCCGGAAGTGCGGTGGGTCCACCAAACCAGGCATGCAAAACCTATTCGGCAGAGCATTTCGGACCTCAGCTGGGCAGAGCCTGGGCTTTCAAAAGGGCTATATATACTCTTTTAGGTGGTGCGTCCACCAAAATGCGTTTGACATGCTCCGAAAACGGCATGCATCGGAAGGCCTTAACGAGCCCTACTCAGAAACCTAACGGGTTGGTTCCGCTGACGTGTTCACCCTTTGCACATCTTGGTGCACCCGAGGTGCAGCGCGACCGGCGGAGCGGTCCCGACTTTGACACGTGGCCCCGTGGAGAAGGCGTTTTGGGAGCTGGGACAGTGGTTTGGGTGGCCTGGTCATCCTGGTTTGTCCATTTGAGAGAGTATAGAACCCCCCCCATGTAAGAAAGTAGTATTCGCATGTCCGTTTGCCTGGAAGCATGTTCAATCCCCTGCAAAACGATGACCCCGTTGATTCTGGTGGAAAACCCTTGACATGCGAGAAGTGGTGTGAAGAAAACGCATGCACACACACAAACACACAAACCTACTGTTCCAAACTGTCAGGGTCAATGCAGTCAATGCATGACTGGTCTTGGTGGGGAGGGCTTGGACCACATTAGCCCTGTGCCACAGTATTGTCCTGCCACAGGTTTTTCCAACTTGTCAGGGCCAATGCATGACTGCTGTTGGTGGGTAATAAGCTTGGACAGAGGTTAGGGGTGCGATGGGAGAGCTTGGACCGCTGTAGCCTTGTGCTACAGCATTGACTCGATGGTTTACATGGTTTTCCAACTTGCACCAGGCGTGAAAACGATAAGAAGAACGATAACACGGCGAGCCTAAAACACTTTTCGGTAGGCAGGCCACATAAAACACCACTCCGAAGGCAGGCCTGCAGCTAGTATATATTTTCAAGCATTTGTTTGAAGAGAGAATGTGTTCGAAAGCCCTGAGTAACTGGAGGTACTGAAAGGAGGAGCACAGGGCAACTCTGAAAGTTTCTCTTCTTTTTACTCTTGTTCTTTTTCTATATACAGTAATTTGTCTTTTTCTTCCACCTCATCATTTTCAGACTATTGAGATGGCAAAGGGAGTGGGATTGGATGGGACGCAAGGTAGGAAGCATGGGAGAATGGGCAGCGGGAGGGAATGGTGCCTGGTGAGTTGCTAATGCATGAGCTTCCATTGACACCAGCATGGGTGTAGTTGGAATGAACTGTGCAAAAATGTCTTCATGTGCATATGCATGCGCACGCGTTAGAAGTCCAGTAGAAAGAGCTCCAGCTCCTAGTTCCTCATTATATTGCGCAATAAGTTCACAGTATGTCACTGTCCAAGCTGGTGGCAAATGGTGCAGTTCACTTACATTCCAAGCGTGTCTTTAGGCCAGATTGTCCCATATCTGCCTATGGAATGAATGGTTAGGTATTGCTCTCCCTATGGGTCGGTTTGCGGCAGGCTTCCAGACAAGACCCTGGCAGTGCCGTGCTGCAGGTCAAGGCTTGTCAGAGGCAGCACGCGCCAAGCTGTACAACTACCCAGCAGGGTTTCCCAGAGATGCCATTGAAATGCTGGTGTGAATGTCCACTGGCCTGGGCTATGCTATCATCAGGGCCAAAAAGACCTTGAGATGACTGAAACTGCTGGGAGAGGAGAACTGGCGAGTCAAAACTGAGACTTTGATTTATAATAAGATGTTGCACCAAATATTTATTCTTCTATCCACCACACCCAGAGGTGGATTTGTACATATAGAATCAACACACATATTTTATATATAACTGTATATGTGCAATATAGCATGGCCGGTGTAAAACGTGACTTTGATTCTCTAGGATGCAAAGCTGTTCCAAGCTCGACTATATAAAGCAAAAAGTGGTTTCCACCTACTTGAGATTTGACAGCGCCGCTGGACAGTGCTGAGTCATGAAACGGATTTATACCAGGAATGATATTAAGGAGAAAAATGGAAGTGCCCAGGAACTTAAACTCAAGAGAGCATCCTTGGTGCATGCCCCTTTGCTTTTTTCTATAGAGATGCTGTGTGTCAGGACCAAGCACAGAAAACAATTAAAGGACCGGATAACCCCACATATGAATCTTTACGAATCTTAAGTTTCTAAAACACAAAGCAGTCAGAGTCTCAATAGCTTCTACAACACGGCCTTGTCAGGAAGTGATATCAGCTTCCGACAACAGAGGGGTGGGAGAGAAGGTGTAAGAGAGTGATGTGCACGACGGATGTACGAGGTATTGTGCACACAGGTGTGCGCAGCCACAACTAGCCAACAACACCAGCGGGTGTCGCACGTCCGCAATACGGGGCATGATGTACGAAAGTTGTACTACAAAGTCGCCAGTTCTCAGCTTCCAGCTCCACAGATTGCTCCGCGTACTAAAGTTGTACTACAAAGTCGCCAGTTCTCAGCTTCCAGCTCACGGATTGCTCCGCGTACTAAAGTTGTACTACAAAGTTGCCACAGCTACTCCGCGTACTACAGTTGTACTACAAAGTCGCCAGTTCTCAGCTTCCAGCTCCACAGCTACTCCGCGTACTAAAGTTGTACTA